AGAGAGCATGAAACAAAGGGCAGAGGAAGGGAGAAAGTTTACATCAGCAAACAGTCAAATTGACAGCCCGTCAGTGTTGCCTTCAAACTATAACTTTCATAAAGTGCTGGCAGTAAAAAAGGAGAGAGCACATAGTTGACCCTTATTGGCAGAAAGAAGAATTACGCTTCCCTAAGACACATTATGTTCCCATATCCACACTGTCTAATGTCATTTTTGATCATTTAAAATCTGTCCTTCGGTGAGTGCCTTCAATCCAGGGAAAATGCCAAAATAAATTGAAAAGCAGATTTGCCAGGAAAGTAGAATTGTATGCGTTTGACTTGTGATCTTATCACAATTTAAGTGAAATATTTCACTTGGCAAGAGGCAGTTTGTGTTTTCCACGCAGCATACCAAACTAATGTTTCAGGTGATTTTCGCATGCTTTCTAAATGTCTAATATAAAATACTGGAGAGAGATTTCAGTGTCTTAAAATGAGATCTTGTGCGCTGATTGATATTCATGGCATAATACAAATGTGGGAGGGCAATGACGAGCTCAAATAAAGCCACGCAGTATCAATTAATTGTGAAAATTGACTTTGACACCGATTGCATGTGCACCTCCTCCTTCATTGCACAATGTGCAGTATTTGCATTTTCTTTGGCACATATATGTATAATCTCACCTTTTTCTCCTCCACCACCCTTTTCGCTATACCCTCGGATGTTCCAAATGATGCCCCCTGGGGGGTTTGGATTTAGTGGTTCAGCCGTGGCCACAATGCATAAAAGAGACGTGTCTTAATATTTTATTAGACACATTATGTTTCCACCCTTCTTCATCTCTTCACTCTCTTTTCAACCCCTAAACAAGAACTCCATGGCAACCCAGATGAACATCCTGTAAAAGGAAAATAGATAGACACGCCGCGCTACAGGAGAAGCATGCTTGACATTTTATCATGTCAAAGATGATGCTTGAAGAATTTGTGATTTTTTTTGGGGGGGGTAAAACACTAACAGATTTAACTGTTTACTGACTAAATAATGATGATTTTGGTGGACGTTATCTATCCAGCTAATCCAAGAAAAAATGAGTGACAGCAATCCCTTGGAAACGGTACATCCTGTGCCTGAGTAGCACCACTGTGTCTACAGTCTACATTCATGTTTGACATGAGCTTTGTTTGAAATACTGGATTGATTGTAAATATTGCACGGTTCTAGCAATCGCGGCTGTAACACCAACAGCTCAGCATCGTTGACCATTTTGCATCGGTTTGAGTCAGTTAAGACTATTTATCTAAATCACATATGTGGCAGGAAGCACACGCATTCTAAGCCACCGAGCCAAAGCATCCACTGCTTTTTGGCCACTTTCTGTTTTTTTTATATATTTTTTTTATTTTTTTTACCCCACAGTGAAACAGCCATCAATTCCTGACCCATGTTAATGCACCCTTTCAATATTTTATGTTTTTATATGGAGGGCTGACAATAGAACACAGAAATGGAAGGTGCATTTTGCCGGGCTACTTCCATCTTCTCCACAGAGCTACTGTATGCACTCCGATGCAGAGAGAAAGAAAGCAGCAAATTCAACGGGACTGTAGGTGTTATTTTTAATCCACGCGAAACACAAGTGTTGAAATAAAGCAGCAGTAGTGTTCGCACATATTCTTGTTTTGTTGTTGTTTTCCAAAGGTGATTTACTGCACTTTGTACTGAGTTGTACAGGGTATAATTTGATCTTGATTTAATATAGGCTGATCTCTGTACATCCTTCCATGTTGGACATATACTTTATATAGCTTAGCTCCTCTCAAGGTGAACTCACTTAGCAGTGTAATCAACTGTCAAAGTGCTCGGTGGAGGCAACTGAGAAGAAATGAAAAGAAATCAATTCGGTGAGACAAACCTGTGCATTAAATGTGCCTTGTATCTGAAGGAGGGCATGCCAGGAGAGGATCATTACACAGGTCACAGTTAGAGGAGGCTAAGCTTGATGAAATACACCGCACAACAACAAAAGAGCTCCGTAACGTAATACTGTCTACCCCGTGACAGTTTAGGCCAATAGATCTTCAGCCACATAAGCAAAACTCACAAACCACAGAAGTCCATCTACCTCATCTCTGTTTTAAAGATACATTCCAGCATTGTGATCAGATCCCATTTAAAACAGATCCAGTGTAGGTTTCAGATGGTCCAAATGATTCATCTGCAGCTCCATTACTGTATCTCTATTGAGGGTGTTGTTGCAGTAAACTCATATTCCCAAACAAGATGCTTTGCCATAACTTTTTATTACCTGCTCACATATTAGTGGCATTGAGTCTCAACGTCCCCAGTTATCTATTAGGGAGTCAATTCATTTCTTGGAATCAATATTTGACCTCTGACCTCAAATCATTCTTGTTCATGTTCTAGTATTAACAGAGCTATCCAAAGAGTAATTGTAGTTACT